CTCCTTTAGCAGCAGCGGCTCCTTACCTTATCTACAAGGAGACACTCATGAGCAGCAGCAGGAGCAGCACGAGCAGCAGCACGAGCAGCAGCACGATCAGCAGCATGAGCATTTAGAGGATTCGGATGCTGCTGCTGCTGCTGCAGCTGCAGCAGCAGCAGCAGCAGCAGCAGAAGCAGCATTATCATGGGAAGATGAATCACATAGAGGAGACACAGAAGATGATGCAGCAGCACGGGGTGTCTCTGCATGCAGCAACAATTCTTTGCTGCTGCAGCAAAGAGAAGAATCTCTTCCTTATGTACAACCAGTAACACAAGAGTTGCTGCAGCATCTGCAGCAGCAAGAGGAACTGCAGCAGCAGCAGGAGCAGGAGCAGCAAGAGCAGCGGCAGCAGGAGGAAGAGGAAGAGGAAGACGATTCATATATCTCCCGATCCCCAGACAGTGGAGACACCGCAACAGCAGCAGGAACAGCAGCAGCAACAGCAGCAGAAGCAGCAGCAGCAGCAGCAGCAGGAGATGATTTAGGAGACAGTTTAGCAGCAGCATATGAGGAAGGATTATCCTTGGATCGTGTTGTGGGGTTTGAATCGATCCCACTGTCCCCAGAAGACGATCCCACACGATCCCCACCTGCTGCTGCTGCTGCTGCTGCTCCTGCTGCTGCTGCAGCAGAAGAAGCAGCAACACCAGCAGCAGCAGCAGCAGCAGCAGCAAAAGGCTTCCCTCCCTGCAGCAGCAAACGTTGTTGCATAGCTCTAGGTAGAGCCCCATGCTCAAACCCATCAAAAAAAACAGCAGCAGCAGCAGCAGCAGCAGCAGCAGCACCAACAGCAACAGCAGCAGCAGCAGCACCATCAACAGCAGCAACAGCAGCACCATATGTAGGGTGTCTGCTTCCTATATCTATATTAGATCAATTATGGATAGGGTATGGTGATGGTTTATTAACTTGTGTGTCTCTTTCTTCTTATTTGCTGCTAAATGCATGCAAACTTAATTATCCCCATATACATACTCTCCTTTATTCGAAGTATAGAGGTAAATAAATAAATAAATAAATTAATTAATTAATTAATTAAATTAATTAATTAATTAATTAATTAATTATATTTAATTAATTAGGAGGGACACAGAGAAAAAAGCAGAAAAAATGAACAAAAAGGAGAAAAAAGAGACACTTTTTTATATGTCTGTCTCCTGCTGCTGCTGCTGCTGCTGCTGCTGCTATTTGCTGCTGCTGCTGCTGCTGCTGCTGCTGTTATTATTATTATTATTTGCTGCAGATTTAATAATTGCTGTTTGTGCTAATAAAGTTGTTTGTATGTTTTGTCCTCGTACCTTCCAATGCCTCCTTGAGTAAACCCTAAACCCTAAACCCTAAACCCTAAACCCTAAACCCTAAACCCTAAAAAGGAGGATGGATATTCTTATGATGGATATATTTATTTATTTATTTATTTATTTATTTATATAAATAAAGGATAATAATAATTATAATTATTCTTTCTTTTGTTATATAGCAGCTTGCTACTGTTGATTATCTCCTGCTGCTTGTTGCTGCTTGTTGCTGCTGCTGCTGCTGCTGCTGCTGCTGCTGCTGCTGTTGCTGCTGCAGGATAGATGCAAATGCATTAACATGTTCTTCTCCTCTTTCTTATTTATATGTATTGGAGGCACCAGAGGCATGGGAACTTAGATCTACTATTCTTCTTGCTGTAAGCTTCCTGCTGCTGCTGTTGCTGCTGCTGTTGCTGCTGCTGTTGCTGTTGCTGCTGCTGCTGTTGCTGTTGCTGCTGCTGTTGCTGCTGCTGCTGTTTCCTACATCCCTTCGTTAGATGTACAAAAACCACCACAACAAACCCCATTACTACCTCCCCTTCCCCCAAGCAGCAGTAGCAACAGCAGTAGCAGCAGCAGCAGCAACAGCAGCAGCAGCAGCAGCAGCAGCAGCAGCAGCAAATAAATATATTTTTTTTTTTTTTTTTTTTTTTTTTTTTTTTT